ACCCAGCCCTGGCCAAAAACTGCAAATAAAGCATCTCCTAGACATATTGTGATTAACTTTGCCAAACTGGCAAATAAGATGACTTTGCCAAATTGGCAATATTTTGGAGAAAATTCTGTAAGCAGCCAGACATAAGAAAAGCATTACCTACAAAAGGAGAAATACCAGAATGACTGCAGATCTCTCAGGCGAAATGTTTCAAGCCAAAAGACGGTGGTCATTGATCTTCAATCTCCTAAAACAAAACAACTTTCAGCCCAGAATCCTGTATCCAGCTAAACTGAGTATCCTTTGTGATGGAGAAATCAAATACTTTAATGACATAGACATGTTGAAGAAATTTGCCATAACTAAACTAGCTCTCCAGGATATTCTCAGACCCATCCTCCACAATGACCAGCACAATCCTCTACCACCAAAGTAAACTCACTCAGAAATTTCTGAACAAAACCCAACTTTCACAGTGGTGAAAGGATTAAAAATGTCTACTGGATGTTTGAAAAACATGACACTCAAAACACTACCAGGCTTATCAATTCTCTCAATTAAGGTGAATGGTTTAAATTGTCCTCTAAAGAGTCACAGGTTGCCCAACTGGATACATAAACTCAGACCAGATATCTGCTGCATAAGAATTTCATCTTATGTTAAAGGATAAAAATAGACTCAGGGTGGCTCAGCGCCTGAGGCTCAAGTGCTTAAGGCGCCAGCCACATACACCTGAGCTGGCAGGTTCAAATCCAGCCCGGGCCTGCCAAACAATGAAAGTTGCAACCAAAAAATAGCCAGGCATTGTGGCAGGTGCCTGTAGTCCCAGCTACTTGGGAGGTGGAGGCAAGAGAATTGCTTGAGCCCAGGGGTTGGGGGTTGCTGTGAACTGAGATGCCACAGCACTCTACCCAGGGCAACAGCTTGAGCCTCTGTCTCAAAAAAAAAAAAAAGAGACTCAGGGTGAAGGGATAGACATCTATAATACAGGCAAATGGAAATCAGAAAAAAGCAGGTGTTACAATTTTACTTGCAGTTACAATTGGCTTTAAACCAACAAAGATAAAGAAAGATAAGGATGGTCACTACATATTTGTCAAAGGAAATACCAGCTCTCCAGGATATTCTCAGAAGAGATTTCGATAATTAACATTTAAGCACCGTACCAGAATGCTCCTCAATTTATAAAGCAAAGCCTAATGATTATGAACAACTTGATTTTGATATCTCCCTACACTATAATAGTTGGAGATTTTAACACCCCTTTGACAGTACTATTAACAAAAATTGATTCTCAGCTCAGCCCTATAGCTTAGCGGCCAGGGCTCCAGTCACATACACCAGAGGTAGTGGGTTTAAACACAGCCCAGGCCTGCCAAACAACAATGATACCTGCAACCAAAAACTAGCTGGGTGTTATGGCAGGTGCCTGTAGTCCCAGCTACTTGGGAGGCTGATGCAAGACAATCACTTAAGTCCAAGAGTTAGAAGTTGCTGTGAGTCGTGACGCCAAGTCACTCTACCAAGGGCAACATAATGAAACTCTATCTCAAAAAAAAAAAAAAAAATTGATTCTTTCTGAAGAAAAAATGTAAACTTAAGACATGAAACTATAAAGGTACTAGAAGAGAGTGCAAGGAAAACACTTAAAGAAATTGGCTTGGGAGAATATTTTATGAGGAGGACCCACCCCATCCCAGGCAATTGAAGCAACACCAAAAGTACATTACTGGGATCTGATCAAACTAAAAAGCTTTCGCACAGCAAAGAGTACAGTAAGTTAAGCAAATAGACAACCTTCAGCAATTTTGCTGGTTATGCTTCCAACAAAGATCTAATAACTAGAATCCACAGAGAACTCAAACTAATCAGTAAGAACAAATAATCCCATTTCTATGTGGGTAACAGACTTGAACAGAAACTTTTCAAAAGAAGACAGGCACATGGCCTGCAAACACATGAAAAAATGTTCATCATCTTTCATCATTAGAGAAATGCAAATTAAAACCACGTTGAGATATCATCTAACTCCAGTAAGATTAGCCCACATCACAAAATCCCCAAACAACAGATGTTGGCATGGATGCGGAGAGAAGGGAATACTTCTATACTGTTGCTGGGAATGCAAGCTAATACAAGCTTTTTGGAAAGAAGTTTAGAAAATACTCAAAGAACTAAAAGTAGACCAACCATTTGATCATGCAATTCCTCAACTAGGTATATACCCAGATGATCAAAAATCATTTTACAACAAACACATTTGCACCACAATGTTTACTGAAACCCAATTCATAACTGCCAAGACATGGAAACAGCCCAAGTGCCCATCAACCCCTGAATAGATCAAAGAATTGTGGTATATGTACACTATGGAATACTATACAGCCATAAAAAGATGGAGACTTCATATCTTCTATGTTTACCTGGATAGAACTGGAACATATTCTTCTTAGTGAAATATCTCAAGAATAGAAAAAAAAAGTATCCAGTGTACTCAACACTACTATGAAATCAATATATAATCACCTACAAATTCATATGAATGATAAAACATAACTACAGTCCAGAATGTAGAAGAGAAGAGGAAAGGGGAGGGGTAGGCGGAAGGGGGAGGAAGAAGGGTATTTGCAGGGACCTCACCTAATATTCATGATGCAATGGTACATTTCAAAACTATTAAGAAAAGAGTATAGGCTCTTCGCCCATAGCACAGTGGTTACAGCTCCAGCTATATGCACTGAGGCGGGCGGGTTCGAGCCTGGTCCAGGCCAGCTAAACAACAATGACAATTCCAACAAGAAAACAGTCGGGGCTCGGCACCTGTGGCTCAAGTGGCTAAGGCACCAGCCATATACACCTAAGGTGGTGGGTTTGAATTCAGCCCGAGCCCACCAAAACAACAATGATGGCTGCAACCAAAAAACAGCTGGGCATTGCGGTGGGTGCCTGCGGTCCCAGCAACTTGGGAGACTGAGGCAGGAGACTCACTTGAGTCCAGGAGTTGGAGGTTGCTGTGAGCTGTGATGCCACAGCACTCTACCCAGGGGGATAGCCTGAGGTTCTGTCTCAAAAAAGAAAACAGCCGGGCATTGTGGCAGGCGCCTGTAGTCCCAGCTACTTGGGAGGATGAGGCAAGAGAATCTTTTATTAAAGCCCCAGAGTTTGAGGCTGCTGTGAGCTAAGATGCCACGGCACTCCGCCTAGGGCAACACAGTAAGACTCTTGTCTCAAAAAAAAAAGAGTATAATTGTGATGGATGTGTTAATAATTAAAATGTAAGCATTTCACATTGTACATCAAATCGGTACACTGAACTCCATAAATGCATCAATGTACATAGTTATGATTTAATTAAAAAAAAAAAAAGGAAAGAAAAAGCATCCTCACTGGAAGGGAAGAAGTAAAACAGTCTTATAAACAACATGACTATTCTCAAGTAGAAAATCTAATGGAATCTACAAAAAAAAAATTATGAGAATAAGCGAATTTAGCAAGGTTACAAAATTCAAGAATACACAAAAATCAATTCTATTCATATATTCTAGCAACAAACTGTGAAAATTTTAAATACCATTTACAAGAGCTTAAAAATACATGAAATACTAAGAGTTAAATCTGACAAAATATGTGAAAGACATGTAGACTGAAAACTATAAAATACTGCTTAGAGAAACTAAGCAAAAGACTCATTTAATCTAAAGACTAAGGGTTGATTGGGCATGGTGGCTCATGTCTATGATCCTAGCACTCCTGGAGGCTGAGGGCAATAGATTTCTAGAGCTCAGGAGTTCAATCAAGACCAGCTTAAATAAGAGCGAGACCTTGTCTCTGCTGAAAAGAGAAAAACTAGCTGGATGTTGTGGTGAGTGCCTGTAGTCCCAGCTACTAGGGAGACTGAGGCAAGAGGATCACTCGAGCACAAGAGTTTGAGGTTACTGTGAGCTATGATGACACCATGGTACTGTAACCTGGGCAACAGAGTGAGACTCTGTCTCAAACAAAACAAAACAAAACACAGACTCCATATCATTAAGATGCCATTTCTCCCCAGACCTAAAAATTCAAAACCAGTCCAATTAAAATCTCAAGAGAGGTTCTGTAGAAACTGACAAATTGATTCTCACATTGATATAGAAATGCAAAGGACCTAGAATGGACAGAATAACTCTGACAAAGAACAAAGTTAGAAAACTGACACTACTTGGTTTCAAAAATAATTATAAAGCTACAGTTGCCAGGCATGGTGCCTTGTGCCTACAGTCACAGCTACTTGGGAGGCTGAGGTGGGAGCACTGAATGAGGCCAGCCTGGGCGACGTAGCAAGACTTCATTTAAAAAAAAAAAAACTAGGCTCGGCGCTTGTGGCTCAAAAGTGGCTAAGGCACCAGCCACATACACCTAAGGTGGCGGGTTCGAATCTAGCCAGGGCCACCAAATAACAATGACAGCTGCAACCAAAAAATAGCCGGGCGTTTTGGCGGGCACCTGTGGTTCCAGCTACTTGGGAGGCTGAGGTAGGAGACTCGCTTGAGCCCAGGAGTTGGAGGTTGCTGTGAGCAGTGAAGCCATGGCACTCTACCCAGGGGCTCAGCTTGAGGCTCTGTCTCAAAAATAAAAAAAAATAAAAATAATAAAATTTAAAATTAATAGTTACTGGTGGCTAGGTGATACTATATCTAAAGCATATTTAGTAACCTAACAACATTCACATTTTCTTTCTCTCTTTCCACACACACAAAAATTAAGATTTACAATTGATTTAAATTATTCAAATAGTTCTAAAATATCATTTTGTGTTAGTTTATTACAAAACTGAAGACCTATGATCCATCATCAACCAAACAGCATGACTTTCTTTTAAGTAATTCTTAATCCATTTACAAATAAAAACAAAACTACTTAAAAATTACACGGTCTTGGCAAGCTGGCATTAGGTACGGTCATAAAACAAACCATTCATGGACACAGAGGCCTAATTTGAGATATAGAACTCCATTTTCCAGAATACTGACCTCTCCGTCACTATCAGATATCACAATGAATGCATCCTCAAGTCTACGCTTCCTCTTCGCACTGGCAGAACTGGTAGTTTCTACATCCTTCTTCTCCAGGTTCTGAGATTCAGAGGCTTCTTTAACTTTTTTCTTTCTCCGTGGCATCCTTGTGTCTGGAATACAAGGACAAATAATTTACTCAAAGTGTAAGTTTTCTAGAAGCTATTCAATTTGGTTATACAAAGGAAAAATGACTGGATAATGAGAATGAAATCCTTATAAATGGAATTAATGCCCTTATAAAAGAGGCCTGAGGGAACCAATTTGCCCAGTTTGGTCTTCTGCCATGTGAAGATGCAGCAAGAAGGTACTTCCTTTTAAATAGAGAACAAGCCCTTACCAGACACCAAATCTGCTAGCACCTTTATTTTGGACTACCCAGACTTTAGAACTGTGAATAACAGCCAGGCACAGTGTTTCACACCTGTAATCCTAGCACTCCGTGAGGCCAAGGCAGGTGGACTGCCTGACCTCATGAGTTCAAGACCAGTCTGAGCCAGAGCAAGATCTTATCTCTAAAAAATAGCCCAATATTATGGCAGGCACCTGTAGTCCCAGCTACTTCGGGAGACTGAGGCAAGAGAATTGTTTAAGCCCAAGAGTTTGAGGTTGCTGTGAGCTGTAACACCACAGCACTATACCGAGGGCAATAAAATGAGACTGTCTCAGAAAAAAAAAAAAAAGAACCATGCATAAATTTATATTGTTTATAAATTACCCAGTCTAAGGTATTTTGTTATAGAAGCAGAAACAGACCCAAACATTGCCAATTCACAAGAAAAAAACATGAAATACAAATATATGAAAGTATTTAATCTATCAGGTTATCATTATATAAATTAAAACACAAATAAAATGACATTTTTACTTCCTAAATAAAATTAATTTTTATATAAATTCTCAAGTATTGGAGGCAATTTTGCAAACACAAAACTACTGCAGAAATAAAAAACATACCCAGGTTTGTAAAAATGGTGCCACAAATTTATTCACAAATGAATAAAGTCTTCAGTTCTAATAACTCATTTTACCCCACCTTTTTATATTTTTGTTGTTGTTGAAGACAGGGTTTTACTCTGTTGCCCACATTAAAAGTGCATTGGTGTCATACCTCACTACAGCCTCAAACTCTTAGACTCTAGTGATCCTCCTACCTCAATCTCTTGAGTATTTGGGATTATAAGCATGTACTACCAAACCCAGCTAATTCATTTCATTAATTTTTTTTTTTTTTTGGTAGAGACCAAGTCTCACTTTATCACCCTCAGTAGAATGCCATGGTGTCAACACAGCTCACAGCAACCTCTAACTCCTTGGCTTATGTGATTCTCTTGCCTCAGCCTCCCAAGTATCTGGGACTTCATTAAGATCTATTGTGGAGACAAGTCTTGCTATGTTTTTCAGTCTGGTCTCAAACTCTTGGGCTCATACAATCCTCCCACCATGGTCTCCCAAAGTACTTGGATTACAGGCATGAGCCATCACACCCAACCACATCACCTTTTTAGATTTGGGTCTATTACCACAATGAAACTACTCAAAGAAAGAGAAAACATATCTCTTCAGGGCCAAGAGAGAAACATCAAAGACACCTGAGGGGAAATTATATGAAATCTGACAAATCAAAAAGATAGATCTTAGATTAATACTTTCAGAACTGCTAGGCAAGAGTTCTTAACCCTGGCCACAAGGTTCTGACTACTAGCCCTAAATGAATCCATGGATCAGCCTCAAGGTTATTTACAATCTCTTGAAATTATATGCAAACTTATCTTTTTTTATTTTTTATTTTTTTTAGAGACAGAGTCTCACTTTGTCACCCTTGGTAGAATGCTGGGGCGTCACAGCTCACAGCAACTTCCAGCTGTTGGGCTTAGGCGATTCTCTTGCCTCAGCCTCCCAAGTAGCTGGGACCACAGGCGCCCGCCACAACGCCCAACTATTTTTTGTTACAGTTTGGCCAGAGCCGGGTTCAAACCCACCACCCTCGGTATATGGGGCCGGCACCCTACTCACGGAGCCACAGGTGTGGCCCTGCAAACTTGTCTTTTTTTTAATACATTCCTTGGGTAAATTTTTATAGTTTTCATCCAATTCCCAAAGCAGTTAAAGACCTACAGTAGCTTAGAACTACCACGGTTCTAGTTAAAACTACATTTTCAGAATCAACCTAGACATGTTCAGTAATATAACCAGCCTCCTAGTGTACATTTTTGGTTTTTTTTTTTTTTGAGACAGAGTCTTACTATGTTGCCCTGGATAGAGTACTGTGGCATCACAGCTAACATCAACCTCCAACTTTTGGGCGTCAGTGATTCTCTTGCCTCAGCCTCCAAAGTAGCTGGGACAATGCATGGCTACTTTTTGTTACAGTTGTCATCATTGTTTAGCTGGCCCAGGCTAGGTTTGAATCTACCAGCCTCAGTGTATGTGTGGCTGGCGATGTAACCACTATGCACGGAGCCCATTTTTATGTTTATTAAGGATGTTTACAGTCTACTAGCCAAGTGTTCTCACCACAGTACAAGCTCTGTAAGTTGATCACTCACAGGATGCAACAAACTGGACAACATACAGAGGTCAATGGAAGGAACTAGGCCTACTGTACTGATATGTACCTGTGCTACATATTCAGTCTATGAAAATTAGGTTAATTATGGAAGTGGCTGACTATGGAGGTTCTACTGTACTTCATCCTTACATTTTGATTTTATGTTTTCTAATACACAAAATAAATATATTAGTATATATATAATTCATAAATATAGAAACAGGCTGAGTACAGTGGCTCACAAATGTAATCCCACCACTCTAGGAGGTCAAGGAAGGAGGATTACTTGAGCCAGGAGTTCAAGACCAATCTGGGCAACATAAAAATTTATGTTTTGCATAAAAACATAATTTTCCTACAAAAAGCAGGAAAAATGTGCCATAGTCCTAGAGACCTGGGAGGCTGAGGCAGGGTACTGCTTGAGCCCAGGAGTTAAAGGCTACAGTAAGTTATGATTTCTGCCACCACACTGTAATCTACGTAACAGAGTAAGACTCTACCTTTAAAAAAAAAAAAAAGGCAAAGAAGATACAAGCAAAACATGGGTGAATCTCAAAATCATTATGTTCAATGATGAAAGAAGACAGGCACAAAACATATAGATTTTATTATTCCACTGATACAAAATGCAAATTATAGTGACAACAAGTAAATCATGAGTTGCCTAAGGCCAGGAGTGAAGGAAGAGACAGAATGAAAAGGGACATAAGGACTCTTTTGGGAATTATGGATATATCCTATATCATGATCATGGTAAGTTTCAACTATGTATACAACTGGAAAAACTCATCCAACTGTATACTTCAAAGGAATGGAATTTATTGTCAACTATTTAGCAATGAAGTTTATAAAGATAAAACACAATGATACCACTACATATCTATTAGCTAGTCAAAAACTTAAAAAGTCTAAAAACAGCAAGTGATGACAAGGATATAGAGCAATACTCTGATACACTGCTGGGAAGGAATATATTGCTGGTGGTCCATAGTGGACCACTTCCCTACACTGACTACCTCCCTAAGTTCACCTAATTTTCACAGAGTAGATATACACCACATGTATGTACCAGTACATCAGGCATAGTTCCTGATGTTGACCACCTCTGTGTATTGACCCTTGTTATAGTCCCTTGGGTGGTCAACTTGGAGAGATCCTACTGTTGTACAAGGTACTACGATCCTTTTAAAAAACAGTTTGGCAGTTTCCACATTTTTCCCCTTCCCTTTTATTTATTTTTTATTGTTTGGGGTTCTTTGAGGGTACAAAGAATTAGGTTACACTAATTGCATTCGTAAGGTAAAATCCCTCTTAGAGTTGTGTCCTGCTCCCAAGAGGTGTGCCATATACCATAAACCCCCATTCCCTTCCCTCCTCCCCTCTCCTCACTCCCTCATTTCCCCCTCCCTCACCTTGTTTTATTTTTTTGTTTGGTGTTTTTTTTTTTTTTTGGAGACAGAGCCTCAAGCTGTCACCCTGGGTAGACTGCCATGGCATCACAGCTCATAGCAACCTCCAACTGTTGGGCTTAAATGATTGTCTTGCCTCAGCCTCCTAAGTAGCTGGGACTACAGGTGCCTGCCACAATGCCCAGCTATTTTTTGGTTGTAGTTATCATTGTTGTTTGGCAGGCCCGGGCTGGATTCAAACCCACCAGCTCTGGTGTATGTGGCTGGCACCTCAGCTGCTTGAGCTATAGGCACCAAGCCTTTGTTTTGTTTTTTAAGTGACAAGGTTTTACTCTGTTGCCCAGTCTGGAGCACAATGGCTTGATCATAGCTTGACAATAATTTATTGAATATGATACCAAAAGCGCAGGTAATAATAACAAAAACAGATACACTGGACCACATCAGAATTAAAAACCTTTGTAATGAAAGGACACTACCAACAGAGTGAAAAGGCAACCCACAAAACAGAAAAAAGAAAAAAATCTGCAAATCATATATCTGGTAAGGGGCTAATACACAAAATACATAAAGAACTCCTAAACTCAGCAACAAAGAACCCAATTAAAACATGAGCAAGGGTGGCTGGGTGTGGTGGCTCATGCCTGTAATCCTAGCACTCTGGAAAGCTGAGGCAGTAGGATCCCTTGAGCTCAGGAGTTCAAGCCCAGACTGAGCAAGAGCAAGACTCTATCTCTACTAAAAATTGAAAAGTTATCCCAGTATTTTGGAGGCTGAGGTGGGTGGAGTGCCTGAGCTCACGCATTTGACACCAGCCTGAGCAAGAGCAAGACCGCATCTCTAAAAAATAGCTGGACATTGTAGCAGGCACCTACAGTCCAGCTACTTGGGAGGGTGAGGCAAGAGAATGACATGAACCCAAGAGTTTAAGGTTGCTGTCAGCTAAGACACCACAGCACTCTACTGAGGGTGACCAAGTGAGACTGTCTCAAACAAATTAAAAAATTAAAATTAAAATAAAAAAATTAGCTGGGCAGATCCTGTAGTCCCAGCTTCTCAAGAGGCTGAAACAGGAGTATCACTTGAACCTAGGAGTTTAAGGTTGCTAGGAGCTAGGCTGACAATATGGCACTTTAACCCAGGTGACCAGTGAAACTCTGTCTCAATTACACACACACTCTCAAGAAAAATAAAACATGGGCAAGGGCCAGGTGCAGTGGCACTTTGGGAAGCCAAGACAGGAAGATTTCTTGAGCCTACAAGTTCAAGACCAGCCTGGGCAACTAGTGAAATCCGGTCTCTACAAAAAGTTTTTAAAAAGAGCCAGACATGGTAGCCAGGAGTTGGAGGCTGCAGTTGAGCTCTGTTCATGCCACTGCCCTCTAGCCTGGGTGACAGAGCAAAATTCTGTATCTAAAAAGAAAAAGATAGTGGCCAGGTGCTGTGGCTCACACCTGTAATCCTAGCACTCAGGGAGGTGGAGGCAGGTGAACTGCCTGAGCTCAAGTGATTCTCTTGCCTCAGACTTCCCAGTAGCTTGAGCTATAGGTGCCCACCAAAATGCCTAGCTATTTTTTTTTTTTAAGATACAGGGTCTTGCTCTTCCTCAGGCTAGTCTCCAACTCCTGAGCTCCAGCAACCAACCAGCTTCGGCCTCCCAGAGTGCTAGGATTACAGGTGTGAGCCACAAAAACACTTTTTTTGATTCAACTACAAGGCCCTGCCTCACTATACAGAGAAACAAAGACAGTACAGACAGGAAAACTTTTCACTTTTTCCTGAGTGTATTTATACAGCTCAGCATGGTATGTGAGTAACTGCAAGAATATTGGGAGTCTGGGTGCCAGGATTCAAATCTAGCTCTGCCACTGATGAGCAGTGTGTCCTCCATTTTCAGTTACTTCATCTGCATAATTAATAGGATAATAAATAGTACCTATATCCCCCAAGGTTGTCGTGAGGATTAAGTAAATGCTGAAGTACAAAAGGTTTGAAGAGCTATTGTCGCACACAGCGGAATGCCGGGTCTGTTGGAAGGTAAAGTGGTATGTGATGACAAGGATTTCCAAGAGAAATCTTTTTGTCAAGGCAAAGAATTAATGAGGGAAAAATTACTCCCAACAAGAGTAAGCTGATGGGCAGAGGGGCCCGGGCGAGGCACCCCGCGGGGTGCGGGGAAGAAGCGGTAACCGAGCCTCCACACCCAGGGAGAGACAGATGAGACCACAGATGCTGGAACGTGAGCGAGCGGCTACCCTCAGAGAGAATACCAGCCGCCCTGAAAGTGGGAGGGGTGGGGCCAGGCAAGCGAAGGCGAAAGCCCGCCTCAGCGTCCCCAGAAACCCACTCCTGTGTCCGGGAAGCTCACCTCAGCATCCACAGCAGCCCACTAAGACTTCTCGAGGGGCCCACTCCGTCGTCACGAGTCCATCCAGACGTCCCCAGGATCCCACCCGGCGTCCCCGGCCTCCCACCCGGACGTCCCGAAGAACCCATACCGGCGTCCCCAGGGGCCCAACCGGGCGCTCGGGAAGCCCACCTCAGCAGCGGAAGGGGCCCGCCCTGGCGTCCGGAGAGGCCTACTTCAGCGTTGGGAAGCGTCCCTCTCGGTGAGGGGCCGGCCGCGGGCCTCCAGAGGGCCAAGACAAGGCGGGAAGAGGGCGGGCTGGAGGTGTGCGGAGACTGCAGGTACTCACCAGCCGGCGCCGCCGAGCCCCTCCTCCGGGACGATGGGGATCCGGAGCGGCCGCAGAACCTCTAGAGTCTGGCGCTACCGGGCGCGCGCGAGGGAGGTACCGTGGAGAGCGCAGCGGGCGCAGGCGCGGGCGCCCGAGGACGAAACCAATAGTCCTGCGCGGGCAAGCCGCCGCTGGGACGTACCAAGTGCACAGGGGCGCTCCACCACCCCCAGCAGCAGCCAGCTCTGGGGTGTGCGAGGTACTCGAGTTGTATCATTCATTTGCCATCGCTCTCAGGAAAGCTAAGACGTAGAGAACAGCCACTTGTGAGGACCATTCGATATGCTAAAATTTAAAATGTGTATTTTAAACCTAACAGTTTCACCTCTAGAAAAATACAGAAAGAAACTTCTACACGTGTGCACAAGAAGACATATTCAAGAAAACCTGCTTCCTTGCAAAAAATATGAGCAGGAGAAATGTCCAGTAAGACACAAATGAATAAAACGTAAAATGTTCTTATAATACAATAAAATACTACAGCAAATAATAAAGGAAATCCTATATGCATAAACATTTGATAGCTCATAACAACATGAGTTATTGAATACAACATGCCAAATATACACATTGTAAAATGACTTAAATTTAAAAATACATAAAAAAAAAAAAACTGAGTGTGGCAGCTCACGCCTGGGAGGCCAAGGCAGGGAATCCTTGAGCTCAGGAGTTTGAGACCAGCCTGAGCAAGAGCAACACCCCATCTCTACTAAAAACAGAAAAATTGGCTTGGCGCCTGTAGTTCAGTGGTTAGGGTGCCGGGCACATACACTGGAGCTGGTGGGTTCCAACCCTGCCCAGGCCTGCTAAACAATGACAACTACGTACAACAACGAAAACAAAATAGCTGGGCATTATGGCAGATGTCTGTAGTACCAGCTACTTAGGAGGCTGAGGCAAAACAACTGCTTAAACCCAAGTGTTTGAGGTTGCTGTGAGCTATGACACCATAGCACTCTGCCAAGGGCGACATAATGAGACTCTGTCTCCAAACAATAAATAAATAAATAAAAATAGAAAAATTAGCTGGTTGTGGAGGGTGTCTATAGTTTTAGCTACTCAGGAAGCTAAGGCAGGAGGATCTCTTGAACCCAGGAGTTTAAGGTTGCTGTGAGCTAGGCTAATGTCACTGCACTGTAACCTGAGGCAAAAGAGTCAGACTATCTCAAAAGAGAATAAATAAATAAAATAAAAATACATAAAACACTACTGTTTAGACCAGGCACAGTGGCTGATGCCTGTATTCCTAACACTTCTGAGAGGCTGAGGAGGGAGGATCCCTTGAGCTCAGGCAGGATTGGAGACCAGCTTGAGCAAGAGTGAGACTCCATCTTTACTAAAAAGAGAAAAAGTAGCTGGCTTTGTGGTGACTGCCTGTAGTTTAAGCTACGTTTCAGCTACTCTGGAGGCTGAGGTAAGAGGATCACTTGAGCCCAAGATGCTGAGATGGCTTTGAGCTATGGTGCTAAGGCATTTTACTCTGGGCAACAGACCAAGACTGTGTCTAAAAAAATTTTTTAAAAATTAAAAGTCGCATACCAATGACAATTCAATGAACATCAATGGGAGGGTCAGTCACTAACCTCAAAAAAATATTGTAAATTCATGGAAAACCTATATATTTTATATACACTTTAGTCACAATTTCTATGTGTTCTTCATTACCTTTTCCTCTTTTGATGTGTTTGCTGCATTCACTGCATACTTTTATATATTTCTAGTCTCTCTCACAGGGACTAAAGCAGCAGCTACCTTTTTTAGTAAGCTTTTCACTGCTTGTCTCCTCCTTTTGGTTTGGTATGAACCACTCCTCTTGTCACCACACCTTGTCTTTGATTGCACGTGGGTCCCTGTGATTTGCTGCCACTTTGTATTTTTTGTAGAGACTGTGCACATTTTGGGCCCTCCTTCTTATGTTTTCTTCACAGAGCTATTGTGCCAAATCTTTTGAAAGTATTTTTTCCCAATTATTTCTTCAAATAAAGTTGTAACCAGTGGCTATTTGTTGATGATGAAGAAAATTGTGGGGGGCCAATACCAAGATTCTCCCATAGGAATAAGTTCTGTTTTTAATTTTGAGAGTCTCACTCTGTCACCCTGGATAGAGTGTCATGGCATCATACCTCACAGCAACCTCAAACTCCTGGGCTCAGGCGATCCTCTTGCCTCAGCTTCCTGAGTAGCTGGGACTGAGTGCCAGCCACAAGGCCTGACCAGTTTTTCTATTTTTAGTAAAGATGGGGTTTCACTGTTGCTCAGGCTGGTCTCAAACTCCTCAGTGCAAGCAATCTGCCCATTTCTGCTTCCCAGAGTGCTAGGATTACAGGCATGAGCCAACATGCCCGGCTAGTAATAAATTCTCAAACACTGTGGGTGGGCCTAGTGGCTAACAGCTGTAATCCTAGCACCTCTGGGAGGCCAAGGCTGAAGGATCACTTGACCTCAGGAGTTCAAGATCAGCCTGAGCAAGAATGAGAACCCCATCTCTACTGAAAAATAGAAAAATTAGCTGGGTGTGGTGGCATGTGCCTATAGTCCCAGCTACTCAGGAGGCTGAGGCAAGAAGACTGCTTAAGCCCAGGAGTTTCAGGTTGCTGTGAGCTAGGCTGAGGCTATGGCACTTTAGCCCAGGTGATAGAGTCACACTCAGACAGAAAAAAAAAAAAAAAGAATAAGTCAATCATGGTGGCATGAGCCTGTAATTCCAGCTACTTAGGAAGATAAAGCAGGAGGATCATTTGAGCCCAGGAGATGCTGTCTCTAAAAAATGAAAAGGAAAAGGAAAGAAAGCAAAAACCAGGAGAGCCAATGATTAATTTCCTATGAATGCTGCAACAAATTTCCTCAAGTTTAGTGGTTTGAAACAATACAGATTTATTATTTTACAGTTCAGGAGGCCAAAAGTCTGAATTATTTTACTGGATTATAGTCAAGATGATGGTAGAGCTGCTTCTTCAGGAGACTAGGAGGGAAAAATCCATTTCCTTATCTTGTTCATCTTCTGGTGGCTACCTTTATTCTTCAGCTTGTGGCCTCTTCCTCCATCTTCAGATTTCAATTCTGAAATCTGCTTCCTTCATTACATTGCCTTCTCTTTCTGACTGACTCCTCTTGCATGTTTTTTATAAAGACTTGTAATTACATTCAGCCCACACAGATAATCCAGGATAATCTCCCCATCTCAAAATCCTTTTGGCTTGGCGCCTGTGGCTCAAGCAGCTAAGGCACCAGCCACATACACCTAAGGTGGTGGGTTCAAATCCAGCCCGGACCTGCCAAACAACAATAATGGCTGCAATCAAAAAATAGCCGGGCGTTGTGGCGGGTGCCTGTGGTCCCAGCTACTTGGGAGGCTGAGCCAGGAGACTTGCTTGAGCCCAGGAGTTGGAAGTTGCTGTGAGCAGTGAAGCCATGGCACTCTACCCAGGGTGACAGCTTGAGGCTCTGTCTCAAAAAAAAAAAAATCCTTAACTTAATCACATCTACAAAATGCCTTTTCCTGCAAAAGATAACACTAACAAATTCTGGGGTCCAGGCACAGTGGCTCACACCTGTAATTCTAGCACTCTGGGAGGTGAGGCAGGTGGATTGCCTGAGCCCACAGTTTTAAGACCAGCCTGAGCCACAACAAGACTTCATCTCTAAAAATAGCCAGGCATTGTGGCAGGTGCCTGTATTCCCAGCTACTCATGAGGATGAGGCAAGGGGATCACTTGAGCCCAAGAGTATGAGACTGCTGTGAGCTGTGATGCCACAGCACTCTATCGAGGGCTACAAAGTGAGAGTCTGTCTCAAAAAAAAAAAAGGCTTGGTGGGTAGCACCTGTGGCTCAAGGAGTAGGGTGCCAGCCCCATACACCAGGGGTGGTGGGTTCAAGCCCAGCCCTGGCCAAAACTGCAAAAAAAAAAAAAAGTCTATTAAAAAAAATATACACACACACACATAAATGGCTTGATGCCTGTAGCTCAAGCAGTTAGGGTGCCAGGCTCATACAAGAGAGCTGGTGGGTTTGAATCCAGCCCAGGCCTGCCAAACAATGACAACTACAACCAAAAAATAGCCAGGCATTGTGGCGGGCGCCTGTAGTCCCCGCTACTCAGGAGGCTGAGGCAAGAAAATTGCTTAAGCCCAGGAGTTGGTGGTTGCTGTGATGCCACGGCACTCTACTACCCAGGGTGACAGCTTGAGGTTCTGTCTCAAAAAAAACCCAACAAGTTCTGGGGATTAGAATGTGGACATCTTTGGTGAGCCATTATTCCAATTACTGTTTCCTTCCTATAGTTCAGTTATATAAACCAATAAATTCCCTTTTTTTGTTTAAGCTATTTAGAACATCTCCTCCTCTAAACTTTGAACGGCCATTCTAAGATATCTGGTTGCTTCTTCCATCAGTCAGCAGCAATAAGTGAGGGTCAACTATGTACTCTAATACAAGGTACTAAGAATACAGGAAACAAGACAGATCAGACTCTGTCAGTCTAGTGAGGAACAAAAAAATACACAAGTCTATTGAATAGCTATGATGGGAAAGTACAAGAAACTATGAAATGTAAAATTTTGTCAGAGGCTATGAGGGAAAGCTTCTCTGAGGAAATACATTTAAGCTGAGAGCTAAAAGATAAGTAGAAACCTAAAGCCAAAGTCCAGTACTTATTCATCTTTACCACCAATATTTATTGAGTGCCTACTATGGGCTAGGTATTGTCTTAGATGATTGGAATACTTGTTCATCAGAGAACAAGAGTCAAATTCCCTTACCTTCCTAGTGTTTATATTTCAGTAATTACATTCCAGTTCCTTCATCCACATACTCAACAAATATTTGAGCTTATCCAGCTAGGCACTAAGCCAAGTGGTTAGGAATAAAATATCAGCCAGGTATAGTGGCTCATGCCCATAATCCCAGCACTTTCTTCTTTTTTTTTTTTTTTTTTTTTTTGCAGTTTTTGGCTGGGACTGGGTTTGAACCTGCCACCTCCAGCATATGGGGCCGGCGCCCTATTCCTTTGAGTCCCAGGAGCCACACAATCCCAGCACTTTAGAAGGAAGAGCCAGGAGGGTTGCTTGAGCCCAGAAGTTCAATACCAGCCTAGGCAACACAGTAAAACCAAAAATAAAAATAAATCTGCAGAAAGTGTTCCTACCAAAAAGATTTTTTTAATTAGGTTTTAATTTTTGTAATTTGGGGGAGGGGGGAGGCAGGGCAGGGTTTGAACATAATTTTTGTAATTTTTTTTAATTA